TAGATATAATAATTAGATAATTAAATAGATGGTTTGGCATTATAAATATAGTTGTGTATCTTTTAGATGTAGATAAAGACATGTTTGACCAAAGAGCAGGAAATAGGCGAGTACAAGCTCGCTGTATCTAAAAGTGTCAGCTGAGTGCAAAGTAAGGCTTATAGGTTCAAGTTCAAGTCTTCTGCCAACAGCAGGAATCCGATTTCTGTAGGAAATAATCTTGAAACATCATCTCTAGATTAAATGAATATGTGTTTAAGCACCTCATTTCCAAGAAGCAAACTCTGGCATTCTGCCGCATTTGACTCTGTGTAATGGAAAAAACAACAACATACCACTCTCTGTTGACAGAGTAGTAGTGGATAAACAGGTTTAAACATAATGGTTGCCAGTTAATTGTTGTAATTAAACAAGTTGAGGAACATTTCTCAAATGTCTTGTGTTCCTTCTTTCAGATATTGCTATCACTTGATCTATCAGTAGGGCCTTCTTCCTTTAATTCTCCACCACTACTATGTCCAGCTGGTTAGCTGAAATCTTTAGCCAGCCACTATTGTTGTGTTGTAGATAAACTGGTTGGTTTCACTGATGTTCGCAGTAGGAATAGTCTGCAATGTTGCATTCAAATCTTCTAGTAGACTTTTGGGTACTTCTGGTACTCTTAATAATCAGCAACAAAGGGTGCAGGTTTCCAGCCTAGCCGCAATTTTCTCTTTCAGGTCAGCTGCTCTGGCATTCAACGCCTGCAACGCACCAGTTGTTCTAGATGCTCAATCTTGGAGTGTGAGGATGATTAACTCTCTGCTGACCTGACATCCTGTCTCTCTCTTGCCTTAGTATTTGCGTTGTACTTCATGAGTCTCCAGTTATGATAGCAGTTGCTTCTTTAACACTGAGCTACTAGTTCAGTCTCTCCAAAATTGGAAATATTCTGTCTCAATGACACTGAAAAACTAGTTCATCAGTACTTCAGTTAATCCAAAATGCTGCAGCAAGAGTACTGACAGGGACTAGAAAGAGAGAGCATATTTCTCCTGTTTTGGCTTCCCTTCACTGGCTCCCTGTTAAACCCAGAATTGAATTCATTCTGGGTCTTAAATAATCAGGCCCCATCTTATCTTAATGACCTTATAGTACCATATCACCCCATTAGAGCAATTCGCTCTCACACTGCAGGCTTACTTGTTGTTCCTAGGGTATTTAAAAAGTAGAATGAGAGGCAGAGCCTTCAATTTTCAGGGCCCTCTTCTATGGAACCAGCTTAGAAGACACCCTCTCTACTTTTAAAAATATGAACTTTCCTTTTTGCCAAAGCATATGGTTATGGTTAGATCAGAGGACCCTGAATCACTCACACTCACTCACTAATGTGTTTATACTCACCTCTCTGTATTTAATTATTTGTTATTTTTCATTTCTGGCTGTCTTCTACAGCATGTCTTTAGTCCTGTTTTCCTTCTATCACCCCAACCGGTCGCAGCAGATAGCCGTCCCTCCCTGAACCTGGTTCTGCTGGAGGTTTCTTCCTGTTAAAAGCGAGTTTTTCCTTCCCACTCATAGGGAGTCTGTATGATTTTTGGGGTTTTCTGTTTTCTTTGTATTATTGTAGGGTCTTTACCTTACAATATAAGGCGCCTTGAGGCAACTGTTGTTGTGATTTGTTGCTATATGAATAAAACTGAATTGAATTGTTCCAGGAGCCCACTTCTCATCCGTGTGTCCCAATCCTCAACACTTGACGCAGACCTTGTTAATCTGGTCGACATCCAAGCTGGTATGGTTTCAGTTATCTTTCTCTTACTTCATATTTTGAGGTATGCCAACAAATCTGCAGCAGCTGTGCAATGCTGTCACATAATCTCTGGGTAATGTTTCCAGCATCTTGAAGAATTAAGGTAGTTCTGAAGGCAAAAGGCGGTCCAACCTGGTAGTAGCAGGGTGTAACTCTGAAGCTCTCCTTTTATCTCCTTGAAGTACAGAAAGGGGAAACCCTGCATTATAAGATGAATATTAATTATAGTTTACTGAGGGCAGTGCTGTGTCTGCCTTGTAGAGACAGGGCTCTGCTGTAATATCACCTTTTGCCAGCTTCACGTTGTGCCTGAATATCTTCTGCAGCCTTCTTCTGGCCCTCTACATGACTATAAAGACTCAATGACTCTCCACCACCTCCTTCATTTCCTGACACCGAGCAGAGAACTCAGAGTCCTTTTCATAGCTTGTCTTTTAGAAAAAAATATCTGGTAGAGGGAGCAGCTACCAGTACAAACAAAGGCAGTAGACTTTTAAGCATAGTTTTAAAGACAAAAGGCATTTACGAATGTTTGACCTTATCTGACCTTATCTGAAGAGGTCAGCAGTCCGAGGTAACATCTTTAAAACTCCCATATATCATTCACTATATGTTGTCAGTACAGCTGCAGTAAGAAACGGTTTTTATTAGCTCTGTATAGCATTATTGTCACTGTGACCTTTAGATGAATCCCCACCAGCCCTTCAACATGGAGACAGTAACGACTGACTGGTCAGCTGATCTTTGATGTCACCCATTTATTACTGGCCTCAACATTTGGGCAAAAAGCTTGTAAACACTCCCAAACTCCTACTTCAGTGGGGCCCTACAAGGGGATAATCCAAATGTGATTTTTATTTTTTTTATAGAAATAATGGGATTTAAGAAAGAAATCTTTCTGTAAGTATCAGGGACATCCCAACATCACACTCTGCCTCTTGATGTCAGTTTTTATTATGACTTATCTAAGCTTCTAGCATCTGATGTAGCTACTGATTGGAAACAGGTGCCTTCATATCGTAGATCCTTACTATTATAATGTCCTTTTGTTTTAAGCATTTTGTCACTGTTAACTTGTTTTCATCTTTATGTTTTTACTAATCCGTCATGAAATTCATCTTGAAAGGTGTTATATAAATTAAATCTTACTTTAGTTTACATCCCTTCTTCTCCAGTCAGCCTCTGTTGATTTAAATCTCAGTAGTGTGCTGTCTTTCTGTCAATTAAAAACTCTCACTGGTGCAGCCCACCTCTCATTCTTACATCATCCTCATCTCCCATACACGTCTCCACCTGCTTTCGCTCCACCACAGTGAGTGTTAGACTCCAGCAGACCTGTCTTACTCCGCTCTGCTTCATCAGAGTCTAGTTGCTAATAGTTTATAGCTCAAACTCTTTGCTTAATTAAATTATGTCCACTTGTTTCAGTGATCTCTCTACTTTTCTTTTAGACTCTCCAGTCGCTCCTATTTACTGCAAACTATGTCAGAGGTGCACACACTGCTGCACACCTGCCCGAATTTCAGCCAGTTTGACTGTGGTTAGGGTTCTTTGTCACCATGTTGGATTTTTGGATCTTAGCAAATCTCATTCATAAACTGTACATATGCAGCCCACAGATATATCCAGCAGAACACTCAGTGTGTGCTGCAGCCAAAATTAGATGTCAATCAAAATTCTTCAGAAGGCACAAACATAATTAAAGAGGAGCAGCCATGGCCCAATGAATTCAAGTCAACGTGAACTGTCAGAGTTGCCAGTCTTCAATTCAATTCTTCAGTGTCAATCAAAGCAGCCGCGCCCTAACTGTCAAGCCCTAGAAGTATAAATAATTAAGGAAAAAAAAGTTCTTGTAAATGTAAATGTTCTTTTTTACGCTGTAAAGTTGGGCATTGTCACATGGGTTTCAGTAAGAACTGATGTGCATTTGGCACCACCACAAGGGAACAGCCCAGGAACTGCAGTTTTTGGCCCTTGTTTGACTAAAATCCATGCATTTATGCATTTATGACCACTGTTTTTTTTGTTTTTTTTTAAATGCTTATTATGTTTAAGTAAGTTTTTTTTTTTTTAACTTTTCCTGATGATTTCAAATATAAATGTAAATAAAAACAAAACAACTGGTGACAACTGAATGTTGCCTAATGGTGGCATCTGGAGGCCACAGCAGAAAGTGCCCACTAATGAAGACAGGTATGTTAGAAATGGAGCAGATGGCTGTTCGCCTGCTGTTAAAAGCTTGGGACTATGAATTCAAGGCTTTTCTGACAAGCGGCAGATGGCTTTCAGTATAGCTTAAATACACTGATGCTTTAATTAAAAACAAAACAATCAGGAAATATGTGGAAGTGGATGAGTTCCAGACAAATCCAAAAGTCTTTAAATGCTTCTAGTGGCACCTGAACTCTCGAACAGTAGACTTAGGCCTACTCTGATTATATTTATCTCATGGACTGCCCAGAAACTCATCTGCACTGTCCTTTCTTCTCAGAATTTTAATTACAGGCTGTAAAAAGTTAAAGTTATTTTCTGGTTTTAATTTAAATTTAATTAGCATATACAAGAGACAATCAGCAAACACATTGTTTACTTTCCTAACAAAAATGACACAAATTCAGCTTACTTTTACTCCATAGTTCTTCACCTGCAGCATCTTCCTTTATCTTTAATATAACTCAAAGGCTATGAAATTGTTGACGTGACTGACAGGAACTGTGAACACGTGAGCTGATTTTGGTTATTCTACATGAGAGATTTCTGTGTTTAGATTTAGTTATAGTGCATGTTCCTGCACAAAGAAATAAATGTAATTTGTGGTTATTGATGTAGCTCTACTGCAAAGCATCATCCTTGCACTTTATCATACAACCACAAGATGCCAGTATCACATTGTCTTGGATTAGGTTGATTTAAAAAAAAAACCAACAAAACAAAAAAGACAAAACAAAGAAACATTTTATGAAAGTGTTGATTAGTTAATTTTTTTCCTCGCAATAAGATGCAAGAAGATTTTCAGTCAGAGAAAGAAGTGGAGGGGACCAGGGGCTGGCAGATGCTGCAGACAGTGCATATTCTCAAACAGAAGGGTGTGTGTTTATGTGTGTGTGAAAGGGGGAGGGATTGAAGGGGAGGGAGAAAGAGAGAGAGCAAAACTGGGTGTCAAAATCTCAAGCTCTGAGAAAGCCTCCCAGTCTGTGTGTTGTGAGGGGAAGCAGCAGCACAGTGAAGGTTTCCAGTTGGGAGAGAGTTTAAAGAAAGTGTCTGTTTAGGATATCCAAAAGCTCACTTTGCCTGAATGAAACGCAGCAGTGGATGGCTCGTGAAGGTTATGCACAATGGAGACGTTTGGCTGTCAGTGCTTTGCTTGGATACTTTTGAAAGGAACCATATGTCTGGTGAGTGAAATGAATGGTAGTATTAAACACATTATACATTCAAAGTTGAGCTATGCTGCATTTTAAGAGGGTTTTGCAAATATTTCAAGTTCTACATATTTTAGATTTGCATTATCCTAATAACGACTTTCTTTGCAGACTTACGTTTCTTAAAACACGAGTGAGGTTTAACAATATTTGTGTGGTGTGTGAGTCTGACAATATTAAGAATACTTCTGAAAAACTAAAAAGTTCTTTCAAATGAGATTCTATTTAATTGAAGCAATTCTAAGACAATATTTACAAAGCGTTTGAGATTTTTTTTGTTGATTTGTTTTTTATCGTTCATGCTAGCACTTAGTTTACTTCCTGATGGGGTCAGTCTATAACTTTCTCCTGTGCTTATCTTTCTAGTTGGTTTTTGGACCACACCAGACACACAGCAACTTTACCTTCACCAAGAGAGCACCGCCTCATCCCAGCAGGGCTCACGAGGCTTCTTCACAGCAGAAGAACTCTGTGCTTCAGTCCAGGAGTCTAACTCAGCACACCAAGCTGCCCCGTAACCCCTTCATCCCTCTTTCAAAGCAGGGATTTGGGGAAATACTTGGAGGAAACTCACAGCCGCACTCCAACCCATCATTAAAGATAAAGCTTCAGCCCATCATGAAAGTTCATGGAACATCTAAATGGTCCGAGACCTTCATCTGGGGGGACTTTTATTCAAATATAAAGACAGTCAAACTGAATTTGCTGATATTGGGGAAGATTGTGGATCATGGGAACGGGTCTCTCGGCGTCTACTTCCGCCACAACTCCACGGGGGTAGGCAACGTGTCCGTCAGCCTCGTGCCACCGACGAAAGAGGTGGAGTTCGACTTGGAGCGCCAAAGCGTGATCCACCCCAAGGATTCAAAGACGTTCAACTGCAGAGTGGACTCCGAGAAAACCGAACGCAACAAGAAGGTGATGCTGTGCAACTACGACCCATCAAAGACATGTGATCAGGAGCACACCCAGAGCCACGTCACCTGGATGTGCTCCAGACCTTTCCAGGTCATCTGCATCTACGTGTCTTTCTACAGCACAGACTACAGACTGGTTCAGAAAGTCTGCCCGGACTATAGCCTGCAGAGTCCAGCCTACCTGCCTGCAGGTTAAAGGACACTGGAGAGTGATGTCTCAGCAAGCCTCTATAGAGAAATCCAGTTAGTGCAGCTATGAGCCAGTTTGATGGATCATTTTGAGGTTCTTCAAGAAATTCGGTCGAAAAGTGTTTTTAAGTTCACTTTAGTTTCTATGTTTTTAGTGCAAAAAATGTGCCTGCGTTAAGATTAAAGTGTTTTAGATCATGTAAGAAAAAAAGGTTAGCGTGCAACTAAAAGAGAGTGATTTACCTGGCAATTGCTTTCTTAATTATTCCTTTGAATATATGGTTTTATGAAACCACAGTGTTGTGAAAATACTCACAAAAATCTTGATATTTGCTCTTTTTCTGAACTGTAGTTACCAACAAAAATGCAGTGGTAGTACTCAGCAGATTAATCAGCTATTCCCTTCATGTTTCTTTGTTTTTTCATATTTCTCTGGTTAAAGCAGACAATGGTAAGTTTTTGGTTTAATAAAAGCCAAGATATAGTCATCCTCTAATGTTCTTGTATGCTAAAGCTGCAGGACCATAAATACTTGTGGTCCTGCAAATCAGTCCTTCAAAATTGTTTTCATGCCACTGTAATTTTTTTTAAATAAAGAATTTCATTTCTTTTCGTGTAATAATTTGAATTTATCCGTCCTCACACTGTACTTACAAGTGCATGGCATCTATGATGGTTAACACTTACTTTGCTTTTCCCTTTTCATGTTTTTCTTGATATCTGCGCTGTATTTTGCACAGTAAAATAAAAACAGCATTAAAAATAAGAGAGAACTCCAACGAGTGGAAGTAATGATCTTTGGGGAAACTGCTGAGTTCAGGCAGCACAGAGTGAACTATGAAACCACCTGGGGCCGCTTTATAAGAAAGCTCGCAGCCTGATTTCTTGGTAGAAAGCTGAAGGGAGATGTTTATTCATGATTCTTGATATGAACTCCCCCACTCAGAAGAGCTGCAGGCTATAAAAGATGAAGCGCACAGGTTTAAGCTTTGTGTTATTCCAATACATCTTGCTTTCCATTGTTAACAAAGTATGCTTGTCGTTGCCCACGCGTGCAGGTTCACATTATCTTTGAACAGCTGGCAGGTTAAACAGGCATGTCAGACTGTCTTTGAATAAACCTCAGTCTTGTAACTGTGTTAAACTGTTAAACTGTGTCTGCAGTTTAAACCCAGAGTGGCTCCGAGTGAAACTAAGGTGCACGCGAGAGTGTAGGGGTATGGGTCAGGAAACGGTTCAGGAGGCGCAATTAAACACATCTGCTCGATCACTGCACTCAAGGCACTGGCAACTAACCTTTTCTGCCGGGCAGATGGATGTTTAATGACCTAGACACAGGTCGCTAACTCGATTAAGTAGGTGACAGAGGTTAAAGACACCCCTCACCATCCACCACTGTTTCCAGCTGCTCCCAGAGTGGCTGGAAACAGCAGGGAGAACGCTTCTGTCAACAGCTGCAAGTGCAGTCAACCATATTACGGAGTCTCAGCATCCTATGCAGCATACTGCTTTTTCTAAATTAGCAAGGACAGAGTGGTGGGAGGACCATCCACTACCAAAAACACATTAAAGTTCTATGCAGACATTTGATTTCAGCTTCTCTGCAGGGGCGGCACCAGGAAGTTTTCAGTAAAGTGAAAATAATATATGGATAAGAGTGATTTGAAATCGCAAACTAACCTAGATAATTCTCCTTGCTGACAATTACAGTGAACAGCACTTCATTTAGTTCATTCATAGATTCTTTATGCAATCTACGGTCCCCTGTTGGTTTAAGGTATTTCCTGTTGGTTTCTCTTGTCAGGCCTAGAGAATATTGTCATAGTAACAAAGACAGTACCTCCCTTCAGTTTCTTGAGATTTTGAGATTGCTTTTTGAGATTGCTTATACAGTTCTCTTAAGTTCCTGCAAGGGTAATCCAGCACTTTTGAAAAAAAAATTCAGTCATTCTGCCACTTTGTTGCTGGGCGCAATATTATTGTGTTTGGCTTCAAGTAGATGGTTTACTCAGAGACTGCAAGGTGCTTAAATTCTGTGGCTGCAAAAAAAAAGCCCAAAGCATCACCCCTCAACCACTGTACTTGACAGTTTTTTTGAGGTGTTTTTGCTTATATGCTGTCATTTTCACCAAACGTGGCGCTGTGCATTATGGCCAATCTATACCACTGTTCAAAAGATTTTTTGCCAAAGTCTCGTGGTTTGGTTAGATGAGACTTGGCTGTGCTGCCATGTTCTTTTTAGAGAGAAGAGGTGTTCTCCTGCAAATTCTTTAAAACAAGCCACACTTTCTAAAAGTAATGTCATGAAATTTGGGTGACACCTAACTCTTGGGTTCGTTTTTTAATTTCTATTTTTTCTTTCCACAGTTTCTCAGTGTTGCACTGCATTGAATGTTCACATTCAATACATTTGCTAGATTGCCAGCACCTGGTTGCCTCTTACCCTGTAAATTCTTACGGAAGCAAGAGGTATACTTCGTTTTAAATTTAAAAAATGACACGGTGTAATATGTCACGTGTTACGGTTCATCTAATCACAAGACCTATGGATCAGATTATTATTGTTACACAACATCTGTTATGTAAAACCTTAATACTTCTTTTTACCTTGACTGTACATATCTTTTATACCATCCATTGTTATGAACAATATCTATGATTTATTGTTATTCTCCTATGCTGCTATTCAGTGAGTAATAATAGACTGCAACAACATCTGCCAGAATTTGGGTATTGGAGACAGAATATAGTCTATATATAATAATTAATAGCTAACGATCTAAGACATTTAGGATAGTCTGTGCTCACTTCAAAATATTTTTCTGTGGCAAAACTCCATAAATTCTCTTTCCTTTGCTTAAAAGCACATAAATCTCCAAACGTTTGACTACAACATACATAACTCAGAGAAATACCCAGACAAAGCTTGCACTGCATTCAATACAAAATAGTTGTGGTTTATTCATTTGGGAACAAAAAATGGCAACAACTAAGTGTCACTTCTCATATTCAGCGATATCTACAGGAAAGAAACAACAATGGTTCCTTCTATCAATTACCATTTTTCACCAGGTTAAAATGATAACTTCAAAAATGTATTTCATATGGTTTTACCTTGGTGTGCATGTGTTTCACATTATGTCTATTCTGAACATTAAAACGTGTTCATTTCAATTTCATTTCCCTTCAGTCTTCATGCCTGCAAAGAATTTCACTGTTGAAAATGCTTTTGTTTAAACACAGCTTCAAAAGCACTGGTGTCTGTACAAATTCCTATGGAAAAAAATAGAAATAACATTTTTGAGGGAAAAAAAAATACCTCTCGTAAAATAACATTGACACGCCTTATCGGACTGTAATGTAACCATTTCTTAACCTCCCTTTGTTGTCTTCTAGTAGGTTTGTCTGTCTACACCTTGGACATCATTTTCTCTCAAGGGCTACAAAGAGATCCAGACACAAAACAAATTTCCCCAAGAATGACATCCAGTTGTGCGTTGCTATTTTCCGTATCCTTTTTAAACTGGTTTTCTCCACTAATTAAAAAACAAAACAAAAAAACCCAAAACAAAACAAAACAAATGAAAACAGATGCAGATGAAGTTTGAAGAGTTCTACATGGGAGATCATGTGTTGGTTTTTTTTGTCACTTGCTGATAAATCTTCTTAAAGGGTACTTGTTCTTGGTGGTCCAGCTGGGTCTCTAGTCCAAGAAGCTTGCGTCAATGTGTGCTTGCCTACAGTATTTCTACTTTACTGCTGGTAAGGGTTGACACGGGGGTGACCTGTGAATTTAGTGCAATGTTTTCCCCACTTTCTTTGGGAAAATTTGATGATTTTAGGCCCATATCTGCTGTTGCTGCTTCTTTTTTGTTTTTTTGACTAGCCCTTGGTTGTCTTTCTTGGGGTCTTCTAGTTTGAAAGGCCCATTTCATCTTCTTTAGTCCCTCACAGGCCCACGTGTCCTTTAGTTTTTGGGCTTCTCTCACGGCTCTACTCCAAACACTAAGAACAGAGCAAAAAAAGAAGCCATGTGATAAAATAGACACTTAAAAGACCTTATCTGCAATAGTCCTTCAAGCCTCCAAGTTTCAAAAACGGTTGGCTCTTGTTGGGTTCATGTGTCCAGTTCTTCCTCCTGAACAGATTCCAAAGTAGGAACTACCAAGGATTTTGGATTTATTCACGGAAAAGAGACCTCACTAAACCAGAGCCGAGGAGAAAGGAGAGGGTGCTGTGGGTTTTTCTTTTTCCTTTGTAAACAACAAAACATCCACTTAACAATCCCACTTCTCCCTCTCGTCCATCTCTTCCTCCTCCTTCCCTCCATCTTTAGAAGAGACTAAATACAGCAGGTTCTGGATGGGGCAGAAGGGGGAGATTTGGGGAGAGGCTGTAGGTAGTGTAGTAGGTAACAGCAAGGGGGAAGGTTGTCCCTGTGTGTTTGAGGGTTGGGGGGGGGATCTGCGTGTTTTTGTGAGTGCATGTATGTGCAAAGGTGTGAGTTTGTATGAGTGTGTGTGTGTATGCCTTCCTGTGGGACTGTTAGGACTGTTTGAGGCGTTTGCGTGGGGGTCCGAGGAAAGGGCACTGAGCAGAAGCCAGGGAGCGATACGCTTCAGCCACCAGGTGCGGATGAGACGCCACCATGGACTTCCAGCCTGCTGTCTCCATCACCTCTGCAGCATGGCTGATGGATGAGAAAGGAAGAAAATAGAAAAAGATTACAAATCAAGTTTTCCTTAAGTAAACACATGCATAACAAATGTACAGACAGGCAATCTGGAAATCCTAAATAATGGCAGATTGTTTGGATTCAATTTTCCTGTGAATAGTACAGACTGCGTGAAACCATTTTACAGGTGTTAAACTTCTGCTAAGGTCCGCTTGAGGCTGATTGACTGAAATTTCCCTGTCAGATGGTGAGTGTGTGGCTTTGCCAATTTTTAGTTATCATGCAGACTTTGTGGAAAATTTACACAACAATGCTCCAATTACTCCAATTACTGTGCCTTCAGACTTCAAAGAACG